AAAAAAAAAAAAAAAAAAAAAAAAGAAAAAAAAAAAAAGATTATGATTTCCATTTATGGTTACTGCCACCAAGGCAAAACAATTCTTTCAAAAATTTTTCAACAATATCAGAACCAAACCGTAGATAACACTGATAGTTGCTGTAATCAACATAAAACTGGAAATCAGCTATGAGAAAAATAACCTAATGTTCAGTCACTTTTCCACTTTTTACGGTTATATGTTGGCATTAAATTAAAACAAAACAAAACAATAATCTCTGATAAGTGTTTTTGAATACCGACAAAAATTTTGAGAGGGCCAAACTGTAAACTGATTGCATTTGTAAGACAGCAACAGTTCTATAAATTTTTAGAAATATTCTAAAAACATTTTCATAATTATACAATCTCTAAGTTATAATAAAATTAATAAGAGAAACAATGCAAGAACAACTCAGAAATACACAAACAATTTGTATTAATCTTGAAAAAAAAAAGAAAATCAGTTAAAAAGAAAAAAGAAATGAAAACAAAATGACAGTAAAAATAAAAATAAAAATAAACAGAACTGTAAAACAGCAACATAAAAGTTTGAAAAAACTGGAAATTTGAATAAAATTCGAATGGCAGTCACGGAAGCCTTTCTTCAAAACACAATTTTAAAGGATTAAATTTAAAAAAATTCATATTTGAATATTACTATTCACAAATACAGCAACAACAGAACAAAAACCGCAACGGACAATCAGATTCAAGTTAGTGCTAAGCTGAATGCTTAATATAAATGTATTATCCATCATAAGTACACAACGTAAGAACTTAGTAAACGGAAGGAACGACGTTTTTCTTAATCATATTGTTCTCTTTGCCTCTTCTTTAACCGCTTTTTTTCTTCTCAAATTTCATCCAAAATAGTGGCTAATTTTTGTAAGAAAAAAAACTAGTTTTTTGAATAAAACTTATTGAAATAAAAATAAAGAAGAAGCAAAATTGAAAGACTAATCGACAAACAAAAATAGGTTTCACAATCACTATACTTAAACAACCATAAAGTAACTGTATTGAGCCGTAATAATGTTGCTCCATCGCAACAGAATTATCACAACTACCCGAATTTGAGAACAGAATAAGAACAATAATTATAATTATAATTACAACTGCCCTTTCTTTTCACGTCTAAAAGATGGTTCAAAAGGAGTTCTCCAAAAATTGACAATTTCGGTTCCAAATTGTTGTGATGTAGTGACCACTACTCAAAATACCCAAATAATGACGCATCGTTATGACGTACGACCTGAGAAATTCAAAAAAAAAGATAAGAAAGATATTAAAATCCTTGGTCCCAACCCGAAAGCTCTTCAGGCGCTTCATCCAAGTCTTCGGAATAGTTATCAAAATTTCTTGAATCCGATGGATTTGTAACTTTTGGAACAATAGGAGCTTCCATTGCTCGTGCTCGGAGTGCCTCCCAGTCAAAACCCATAAACCACCTAAAGCGGAGTATAATTGCAAATACAGTATCTGAAGGAATAGTGAGAGAGATAGAAAAACTCGAGAAAGAATTTAAATAAAGCTTCCTAGAGGCAAACGTTACGCGAACAAAAACATTCCCAGCAGTTCTCCTAGAAAAACTTTTTGAGGTGTACAACAGAAGTCTTTGCTCACAGAATCAGTAAACAAAATTCAATTAAGAAAAAAAAAAAACAATCAGCCCCCAATAAAGAAATTCAAAAAGATAAAAATTTTCGAAAAATTACCTGTGTTTTCTTATATCTGAGACGCCACCAATGCTCGTCCCAAGACGTTCACCTGGGTTATCCCGGCACAGTCTTTTTACTAGAGAAGTTGCAGTTTTACCAATGCGCCTGTTTGGTATGTCTAGAGCATCAATTCCCCTGAGTATTAGAGTATAAGTTTTCATTGGGTCGCCAGCCTGCAAATCACTATCTGTAATTAAGAGTAAAGCAGCGCACAATATCACTATCAAAATTTTTAACTGTACAATATAGCTTTACTTGAAAAGGAGGCCGTCCAAGAAGCAGTTCGCAAATATAAATCCCAAGTGCCCAGTAATCCACTGCATGATCATGACCTTTATTCAAGATCACTTCAGGAGAGACGTACTCAGGAGTCCCACAAAACGTCCAAGTTTTTCTACCTGCCACAAGCTTTTTTGCGAACCCAAAATCAACCTAACATAAAGAAAGATGTTATTAATTGTTTTCAGCCATATTTTTTAATAGTAAATGTGTTAGCAGCGTTTGTCGTGAATAAAAAAAACTGACAAGCGTAAATAAAAAAAATTCCAGACCGACAGAGTTTGAAAAGCTCCACAAGAAAAGAACCTACCAACTTCAAATATCCCTTGTTATTTAAAATACAGTTTTCTGGTTTCAGATCCCGATAAACAATTGAACGTCTGTGCAGATACTCAAGAGCTTCCAGCACGCAAGCAACATAAAATCGCGATGTATAGTCGTCAAAGTGTCCCCTATCTCTCAAAGTGGTCCATAGCTCCCCCCCAAGACACACTTCCAAAAGCATGTAGACGTACCTTGTGTCACGAAAAGTAGTGTAGAGCCTGCAACGCAGTAAAGCCTGAATAGAAAACAGCACCAAAAAATCTTACAGAAAAAACAATACTATCCTTTTGGGTACTATATTTCTTCAATTAAGTTTCGTTGAATAAGTTAGTCCGCAATTACTCAGAAAAAACAGCATGACTTATTAAGACCCAAAAAAAAAACAAGTATACCAGTTAACAAAACAGTGGTTCTTTATAAAAAAATAGAATAATAAATTTTAAAATAATATAAAGAAGTACAGCCATAAACAGCATAGTCTTCTCCTTACAGGAAGTACTGCTATAAATAAAACAAAAAAGTAGAAACAGTTACCTAACTATCCAGTCCGACCGCAGTTGAATCATAATATTTTTTTCCGAAAAAATATGCTCTTGCTGTTTTGTATCGACGATATGTTTCTTCTTCAACGCCTTTAGAGCAAAAGTGCGGTTTCTATCTCCATCGACGCAGACCTTGAATTTCTCACTAAGTCAGTCTTCAAAAAATAAGCAAATGTCATAGCTTTCAAAAAATCCTTCAGATAATGTAAAGTAGATAATGTTTGAACCAAACCAATTCTACTCTGCCGAAACCGCCGACCCCTAATGTTGCAATACGCTGTAACTGATCAAGTTGCAAATTTGCAAATTCTTTCTCCGGAACTTTATTTGCAGATGGCTCAACAATCATCCTGAAATAAAATTTCAAGCATGTCTTATTCTAATTTCAGCTACATATGTATGCATAGAACCAATATTATTCACTTACGGTTGTTTGCTCCTTTCAGCATCACCATAATCTTTCTTAAGGGCATCTAAATCACCTATCAGTTTTAAAAAATTGTTCCGATCTAATGAAAGCACTTCGACTCCTGGTTCCATAGCAATAACGCTTGCTGTTCTAGCCTGAAAAAGAAAAGCTAAATTCTGATGGACGATGATCCAAAGCTGTGACTATTGATAAAGAATTGCAAAACAGTGGCCAACTACAAAAAACATCGAATCACTTTTTTAAACACCTTTGGAAACAACTACAAACCTCATTTCCAAAAAGAGCTTTTTCACCAAAGAAGTCTCCCTGAGAAAGAATCCTGATCTCTCGAGGGCTTTTTTCGCCAGTAATTTGTTGTGTAATCTTGACTTGACCACTAGTCAACAAATAGAAAGTGTCGGCCTGCAAAAATCCCCTTTCAAATTTCAAACATTTATACCGAAAAAAAAGTTTT